TGAAACCATTTGGAGAAGAGAACTGTTGAGCAGTTGCCAACAACAGGGCCTGCTGAGACCTCTGTATCCTCCCAATAGAACTCTGTGTGCCAGTCGGGGCTGCTGGCACAAGCCTGAACTCTGCACTGCTGATATATTTCCTTCATGTGGACCAATTACAATAATTACCACTACAATAGCTGAGGTTTAAGCAGTCAGTCTGCACACCATACCTCAGGTTGCTGGCGCTGTGTTCCATCCTATAATCTCAGTTTTCTTTGAACTAAGTGGAAAATAAATACTTGGAAAAAGTGGGAGAGAGTCTGAATGGAAAGCAGAGGCTCAGTAATGGCATTGTTCTTCGTGCCTTGCTGTCCTTAAGCTGCATTTCTTCCTTTTTAGTCTGTGGTTCTAAAAGGTGGCATCTCTTGGTCCACGGGGATGCAGGAGGAGATGCTGCAGACCATTGACTCTCCATATCCAGCAGGGGAATCTCTTTCAGCGTGAATGAAAAAGCAACAGACAATGAGAAAGCAACAGATCAGGAATGGATAAAACTCCAATGTTTTGTTTTGCTGCATTCCTGTCCAAATGAAGACTTCTTTTGACCAAAGGGGAAATTACCCATCCCTTCCTGCTCTTGGATGGATGTTTCCATGCCACCCTGCTGCCGGGACAAGTGGCTGTAACAGCCCAGTTCCCAACAAATCCATTGGCTTCAATATGATGCAATTCCATCATCTCACCCCCACTCCTGTCATTTCCAAAGCACTGGTTAATATTTAAATCTAAACAGTAGGTTGGTTTTTTTTTTTTCTTTTCTAATCTGGTCAAGTTTATATTGCAGAAAGATTAACTCAAGAACAAGCACAACCCCACTTGGCCCTATCACTTGCAATACAAATCCAAAGTATCCACAGTGTATGCACAGAAATACATGTTAAATTTCCTCTATGCAGCCTTCCTCTGGGGAGGGGAAGGGGAAAGAAGAAGGCTGCATGTGACAGCTGCTAATTATGCTGCTTAATGCACTTCTGGAAGTTGCAGAGATGAGAACTATGTGAAAAACCTCTCTGAAAAATGGCGTATTTTCACAAATGTTTTTTTTTTTTTCCACATTTTTTTTTTTTTTCCAAATCTGCCTCCTCCCCCTTTTTAAGGAGGTTTCATTTCTCAAACAGCAGCTGCTGTGTGCAAAGGGCAAAGCAGTGTCTCATGTCCAGTGTTTCCCATTACCACCGTGCCCTAGCATCACTGAATGTATGTGTCATTAGGAAAGTGGTGGCCTGAAGATTCTGGAACCCAGAGACAGGAAGGGGGATGACACCTGAAACACATCTCCAGTTGATGGCTTGGTTTTGTTTCCTCTTTCGGCAGTGTTTTTTATATTCTTCATCTTGTATTCATGCCTACTGGAAAAATTATCTTCTGCACTTGGCTGTGCTGGGGTCTTGTGGAGGTATTTGTTGTGATTCATACATAAGTGCTCACAAAGTGGATCTCAAAGTGCCTTTTACATACAAGGGCTGCTCCAAAAGTAATGCCTCCTATTTATTTGTTGACGTTGGCCCACAATTGGAAAGGTGATACAGCAGTATGGGCTGAACCTTCCCACCCACAGACATTCATCAACACAATTGCTGAATGTTCACGGAGACCAAACAGTGGGTGTGAGCACAGTGGTGCTGGTGTGCTTCAGCAGTAGTGACAGTGACAGTGGGGCACCTCTGCTGGTGCAGATTGCTATGTGCATGGATGGCATGCAGGCTCTTTTTTTTATCACTGGTGAAGATGCACGGCTAATGGTGGTGAACATGTCGTAAATCAGTGTTTTGTAGCTTTGCTCTACCAAATAGCTGAGCTCTTTGTGGTAGTTTCCATGGAAATAAACAGGAAGCATTACTTTTGGAGCAACCTACACAGAGGTTGGGTTCCTCAAAGCCGTGAAGTAAACCTGCACTAGACACTGGGTTAATCTTCTCCTCCAGACACTGATGCGCATTGTTGAAGGCAAAAGCAATGGATTCTCCACCAGTAACAATTCGATGTCATCCTCTTGGGGTCATCCTATTTGGGTCATCCTCTTGGGGTCATCGTATTGGGGTCATCCTATTGGGATCATCCTATTGGGATCATCCTATTGGGGTCATCCTCTTGGGGTCATCCTATTGGCACAGGATGCCCAGAGAGTGGTGGAGTCCCACCCCTGGGGCTGTTCTGGATTGCTCACATGTGGCACTGAGGGACACGGTCAGTGGACGTGGTGGAGGTGTGCTGGGGTTTGGATTTGGCCATCTGAGAGCTCTTTTCCAACCGTAGTGGTTGTGTGACTCTATGGAATCAAGAGGACTGCATGTGCTAACGCCTCCCGAAGTGTTGGGTTTCTCCCTGTTGAGCTGTAACCCAATAATACCACACCTCTCTTTCTCTGCGTGGTGAGAATCACTCTATTGACCAAAGCTTTGGAGACCTTTCCCTGCCTCTTGGTGGCACAGAGCAGAGCCCATCACCCCCCAGTCCCATCCACAGCCACCACAGGGAGAATCCCACAGCATGGAAAGGGCTCTGCGTTCCAACGAGGGAGTGAACCTCCTGCAATAAGAATACTCCGCTGCTATTTAGATAAAAAGAAGGATCCTGCATGCCTACACCACCCTACAAAAATAGTCCGAGTGTGTGAGTAAATCTCCAAAGTTTCTCCCCGTGAAAACATCCAACGGCACATTTTTTCTCCCATCTCACCATACAGATGTATTTATAGCTCTCCTTCCCTCCCACTCCCCCAGGCAGGAGGTTGCCACTCGTCTCCTTCGCCAGCCCTGAAATAATTTGCAGTGCCTTTGAAACATCATCGCGTTGCATAGCTGCGTTGCAGCTATGGGAGCAGATCAGGTTTTCATGCGAATGTCACATTAACAGAGGCATTACAGCTTCCCCTCGCTGCAGGCACTTTGAATTTCCACTTCAGCTTCAGCAGCAAAATAAACCTGCATGCAGGATCGGGGTGTTTGATATTCCACACGCATTAAAAAATTAATATGGAATAGGAGGGGGTGAAGGAGACGCGTTTGCTTTACGAGTGCTTTTTAAAACTCGATTTTGCTGTCGCTGTCGCATCTTAATTTGGAGTTATCTCTAAGTCTTGTGCATGGGGACAGAGAAACCAGCACTGCTTTGTCCACGTGGGCTGCACTACATGTATCTGCGTGGAGAAAAAGCTGCTTTTTGGAGCACGGTTCTGATACAGAACCGGAGCGCAGATACGATGCTGAATTAAAGCTCACTGCAAGCTTTCCACCGTTTCAAAACTGCTCTAGCATTCTTAATACAGAATCTATTCTAATCTATTCTGCAGCACAACATAGTTTGGAGCACGGAGCTTGTGAAGGCAGTACCAAGGGCTGAGATTTAGGGCTCGCATTGCTCAGGGATAGATGGACATCACCCCAGCGCGGCCTTTGGCTCAGGGTCATTCCTGGGGTGCGCTGAGCGGAGGGGCCTAGCGCGGGCCCGCGGGATTCGAACCCCCGCGTCCCGCCGCCGCTGCGCCCAGACCTGCGGCGCCAACCCGCTGCGCCACGGCGCGGCGCGGCCGCTAGATGGCGGCCTCCCAACGAGGAAGCCGCCCGCTCCGCAGCGCCCGGGAGGCGCCTGGCGGCCGCGCCGCGGCGCCCTGCTTCCCCCGGCAGCGACGGCGGCCATGGCCGGGCGGGCCCACGTGACGGCGCGCCGACCAATCAGCGTGAGGCAGGGGGCCCCGACTTTCGTCCCTGTGGCCGCCATTAAAGAAAAAGGGGCTCAGAATTAAACGGCGGAAGAATCCCCTCTCCCCCTCCCGCCCCGTCTTCGCCGTTCCGGCCGCGACTCGACATGGGGGAGACGCGCTGAGGGGCAGCAAGCTGAACAGGATGCCGCGGCCGGGCAGCCGCCGACAGAGGCACCGCTGAGGGGCAGCGAGGAGGAGAGCCGCCGGCTTCGGGGGGCTTCGGGGCAGCGAAGCAGCAGCAGCAGCCGTCGCATCCCTCAGCCGGGGTGTGAGGAGGGGGGTAGTGTGTGTGTGGGGGGGGGGGGGTGGGCTCCGAGCCCGTTCCCCGCGGCCCTTCCGCCTGAGGAGAGCCCGGGGCTCGGCCGCCGCCTCCCCGCCCTCCTGAGGAGAGACCTCGGCGAGAGGAGGGGGCCCTCAGCCCTCCGCCCCCGCGGGGCCGCCGCGCAGCGCTCCCGGATCCCCCGCACCTGAGGAGAGCGGCGGCGGCGGCGCGCGCCCCGCGGGCGGGCTGCGGGCACCCCCCCCCCCCCCCCCCCCCCCCCCCCCCCC